AGACTTATAGATACGCCACTGCCATTATAAAGGTTCAAAATAAAGGAACTGACAACATTAACACCAACTCGCTACTGGTGAGTTAAAATTATGTCTCCGGAATCGCATATTCATACTCCCTGCCATTTACAACGTCATTTCAGTATAAAAATCAAGAAAACTATAAATTACGATGATCGTTCCTATTAATGTGCTCTTTTATGGCTTGACATTAATTTTACACGTATGTTACCAGAAATTTGATTTTGTATTTCTTTTATGACTGTGTGGTATTAAAATTACAATATTTCTTATTATCATTTTGATTATATTATTTTTTATAATTTGTCATTATTCGTTAAGTTAGGAATGTTGTATCCCAAACGCATTATCAATATTATCATCATCCCCATCGTAACCCTTACGAAGGCAATGTCCATAATTATTATCTTCATTATCATTCTCCCTCATCGTCATCTTCATCATCATCATCACCATCATCATCATAATCATTATCATCATCATCAACTCCTTTCTCTCCTTCACCACCATCACTATCATCATCATCATTATCCTTATTATTATTTTAATTATTTTTTAAACATCTTAAAAACTATTATTATAATGTGCATACAGATTACCTTCATTTTGTTCTCATTATTACCGTACAATAATTTCATACATAGAATCAATATAATTGTATATCATTGCAAATGTCATGTCCTTCGGCCTAAGTGCTAATGAAAAATTGTGACCTACTTAGAGATTTTGAATTTAACCAAATCTGTCTGTCAAACTAAATTTAATTGACAATGGTTTTAGCCTATCATTTTTAATCATGATAGTATTCGAATTCCTCCCAAGCAAAATATTAGTATATACGTCTCTCGTTTGCATCAGAAAAAATAATACTAATAGGAATGATGTTTTGCGACTCACGTACAGAGCATTCAGCACGATAACACGTCAGTTAGGACAACACATCATTGCTATACGTCTCTACTTTATCAACATGTTGTTTTTATGGTTATAATTTCATTCCGCCATCATGTCATTTATTATTATTTACTAATTTGTTTGTGTAGTGCGATGTGTTGATGGGGAGAGTATTTATTGAGACGCACGTTAACGAGCCGTGTAATGAAATGTACTGTCTATGGCTGTGATAGCGACTGGTACAACGGTTGCAGCTGGGGCCCTCATCACACTGTAAAGTTTACTTGATTTACACGCGTTCAACGTAAACGCAAGTAAAAACGCTACGTAGTAGGTTCCGTTCCGTTCAACGTGTCTAAATTGTAAACCAACCATGAGGTTTTCATCGCGTTTAATGAAGACACTACGTTTTTCTCTCTAGGTGGGAGTATAAATGGATAGGCCTACTTGGTAGAATGCGAATGTTTTTTTTTGGTTTTTTTTTTTGTTTTTTGTTGTTGAATGTATATATTTTTAGTCTGTGTTTGATATTCATGTATGATTTTGATTTTTTTTTTCAGTTCGCGTAAAGGTTGCAGATTGTGTATAGGATTGATAATTGTTATGGTCAGGGTATGAATAATATGAATAGTACGTGAATACCAAATGTTATTACGGCTATTATGTCTATTTTTAGGTTGTATTTTTAGCAGGCCTATTTTGAAATAATGAGATTAACTGTCGTTGAAATATGTATAATTATATATCCGAACAGGCCTGTATAATGTGGTCTATAAATATGTACTTCCGTTTATAATACATCTTGAAAATATTAGATCAATATAAAACATGCAACTTGAATATGAAAAGATAAACTTACCCAGTGGTTCTCCTATGAAGTAAATGTCCTCTTCAGTTATTGCCGAAAGTTTGTACATATTAAGGTTACAAATAGTAACAGCAGGGAAAAGAAGCCTGTCCTCGTACTCGACGTCGAACTTAGTAATATGTTCGTGTTCTATGTAAGCATCCATTGTCAAGTAACACTGATAAAAGAGAAGACAGAGCATGGCAACCCAAAATAGGAACCATATTCCTCGGCGAAGAATCGAGGATTCGAGCTTGAAAACATGTTTTAAGCCATGACAGTCACTAACCTCCTCCGCCCATTTTATAAAGGACACCTTTTCATGCTCTTCGCTCTCATTTCCTTTTAAGTATTCGTTACTGTTCCTCAATTTCAGGCTATATATCGAGTTGTTAGAATTGGTTTTTTTGCTGTTCGGAAAGTTGTTTATTCCCTGTCCCGAATGCATGAATCTAGGTGGGCTATATCCCAGACCGGCGTAAGTCTCCGCCTGGTCCATTTCAATAAAGCGTGGTCCACGATAACCTCTGCTGGAACTCATCTGCAACGCGTCTTTAAATTCACTTCTCGTCGCTCAAGTGATTTGAACGTCTATTAACTGATTGGTTGAGACGACCGCGTCTAAGACTACTAAACAGCAAACAGGCGCCAAAAGAAATTTACGATTTTTCTTTCTCCGAATCGAAATGCCTCGATAAATTATTATGTAACGTATTGAAGTATCAACAGAAAAAATATCGATTGTAAAATTGAGAAAAATCGTCACAGGAACGAAAATGACACGGTGCTTAAGATTTCAAAAGCCAATAAAATATCCAGTAAGTAGCCTGCGGTCCATTTTTGTTCGAAAACAGGCTCTGTAATCCTCTGCAAACGTACAACATTCACGAAGTTTCTGTTTAAAAGATATGGAAGAGTGTCATTATGTTAGGCCTATTTACTATAACGGTATGAAAGAGCATTATCCATTTACATATCGCAAAGACAGATCGAGAGGTTAATAGCAACTTCATGTAACACAGAGATGTTAACACACGTATTTAAAAAAAAACAAATTCTGAAAGAAACTTGGTCAACAAATCATACCATAATGATATATAATGTGCCACTAAATGGCGATAAAAATATAATAAAATAAAAACATCACAAGCCCGACAATATTGCATTGCTATTTACAATATCATACGTTTTATCAGAGATATTTGCATCTAGTTTGACACGTGGTATGTGACGTCATAATAAATACCCAGGCAGTATGCACTTGCCTCGACCTCCATCACCAGAGAGCGATGAATATACGAAGCGAAGCTAACTCGCACATAAATCAGGCGGAATCAGCACTGTCTATCACCTTGTTCACCAAGATGCTAGGCCCGTTGCATACGAGTTATATATAATATAAATTTGTAATACTCGATAGTAATCTGCATCCCGTACGAACATCCCACTAAGGAAGACATTGTGATGATGCGTCTTAATTTTCTGTGCAATTTGCGTTTGGGAGTAAACTATGATACAATTACAGAAATATAAAATTCAAAAATTAAATATTTACAAAATTAAAAATTAGTGTATTTTGAGTAGTTCATGGTGAACTATCTTGGTATTGCCATTGATATTAACGGTCGTCGCAAAATTGGCAATATTTCGCACAATATTTTATTTTTGCGTATACTATGTATAATACGATTCCCGAATTGGTTAACACTTATGTTTACACGTATTAATGATATTTTAAGGATTCAGTTACAAATAATCAAAATAAAATTCTACTATTTAAAGTATTATAAGACAAAACTTGGTAATTCAATCCGCTCGGGGCGGATGTTCTGAAAACGAACTTTACACTTGTGGCGAAGTGTGCGATGTGTTATGCATCAGTGTGTTTCTTTGCTGCAAGTAATACCTGTTCCAGCATTCAGCGTGATGACAAGTGAATCTATACTAAGACACTATCCCTCCATTTAAATAATTTCAGCTGTGTATATAGT